CCCCTTTTACTCAGAAGAACTCCCCTGAATTATTTATTAATTATCCAGTTAGTTTTTTCTTAAAAAAATAATTAATCAGTTAGTTAAAGTTAAACTCGCATAATTAACTTTCCACCGCACATCAATGTTTAACTACTAGCAAACCGGACATATGTCTGCATTTTTTTTTTTTTTTTGAAGTCAACCGGACATATGTTATGCAGTTATGGCACAATAAATTCCTTAAAAAAAAAAAAAATTAAAAAACAAGAAAACTAATTAAAGCACGAAAAAATAAAATGTGTCGGGCCAATAATAGATAGGGATATGGGCAAGTTCAGCATATCATTGATTTTAGTGCTTATAATGGTCGTTCTTTTTCCTGCCTTTTTTTTTTTTTTTTTTTGCTACTTCTTTTTCCATATATATGTCTGTGATCTTTTATTAGATCTTCCATGCTGTTAGGTTTTTATATTCCGTTCCGGCTAATAGTTGGAATATCGGTCTTTGTTCACTCTTTATTACGCATATCATTGTGAGTTATTGAAAGAGTTGGCGAAATAAGTCATTAGTTGGATCTTTATAGTGTTATGCATCTTGATTCGTTGAAAAATGGGAGATTATATGAACAATGATTATGCCCTTTTTCATCATAAAATTAATAATAAGCGAAAGTACAAGTTAGCTAGTTGCATGCTGAAAGGTTTGATTTTCATGTAGGTATTATAATGAGTGTTATAACACTTTTAGCGACATCTGTAATTAATGATTAAATTCTGAGCTGATCAACAAACAGTAAAAAGAAATGTGCATGAATAAAAATAATGCAGGAGAAAAACTAAAGAACACCAGAAAATGATATCGCGGTTCGGTGCGTACACCTACATCCGTGGGGCCACGTCCAGACAGTGAACAATCCACTAAGATCAAAGATTTACAATCACCAATCGGTCTTATACACTCAAAAACTCCCTTCTTGATGTAGTCGCCATTGTGGAGAATTCTTTTAGTAGCCTTGTTCAGCGAGCGCCACTCGTCTTCGAAAGCTTTCTCTCGAAAATAATACGTCATCCTCCCAAAGAACCACCCTTTTCTATTTTCTCTCAAAGAACATCAAAACAACCTTTTTTGCATGATATTTCACTCAAAAAGCTCTACCTCACATAATTTTTCTAAAAAATATATCTCTAAGATCCATGCCCCAAAATATGACATTGAATTGCTTTTAAAACCATAAAACACAAAAGCTCATTTTTTTTTTTCTCTTTCAAGACCATGACTTCACGTACACACATGCTACATATATAGCAATCATGCACTAATTCGGATTTGCTCTTTTATTTTGCAAAGCACATACAACATATATTACTTTGGCACCAAGATCAATACTATTTACACTCCAAATCAAATATATCCAAGATATCTCTTCAAATCTCTTCAAATTAATTATGCAGCAAATCACTTTTCCATATGAGCACATTTTCTCCAACAAATCTGCAAATCTCCTAATTTGAATATGTCAATCAAATCTCCAAATTTTCTCTAAAATTTCCTTTCAAATATTGATTTCCATCAACAAAAACATTCTATATTCGGAGCAATTAGCAACTAAAATCACCTCTAATTTTCTCCATAAACATCAGTTACCAAAAGTATCTTTTTTAAATTTTTTACAACCAATGCCAACAAATTGTCAACTAAAATCCTAAAACATGCATTCGCAATTTCACACACTATATGTACGTGTAATATTATCTATACACTTACATATATATATATATATATATATGTATGTACTACTACTATATGCAATGGTGCTTGCTGTTTTAATGATAAGCAGCAAAACCATCCAAAATTACTATACATCTAAAAATTAAAAAACAAATATTTGGAAATAAGAGATTGAAGTTAAACCAATATATATCACTAACTTGGTTACAATTAATTAACAATATATGACTTCTAGCGAATTTTGTTTTGAACCCCAATATTAAAATATGTATTTTTTTTTATCAAATAATCTACAGTTGAAAAATATGTATAGCCAATATCTATCTCAAAAAGCTCGTGATTTTTTTTTTAAAACACCAATTTCACATTCTCTCTCTCAATCATATATTTATTGTGTATTTTAACATACGTGGGTGCATGATTGTGTTCACGAGTAGGTTATGGTGAAAGATATAACACTAGTGTTGGACCTGTTGGTCGGATATTATTGGGTGATGAGTCTTATCTTGGAACGTGGGCTGTCGATCAGGAATTAAACAATATTTAATTTATATAGATTTCTCTATGTCCTTGGATCTTGAATTTGTTTTGCAGGAATCGTATGAACCTTTGATTGTTTTGTTCGTTTCAAAAATTCCAAATTGAAACAAGTCCTGTACCAGAAACTAGCCACTTAGTTTTGGCCTCATGAGCAGAATATTTGTAGTGATCACATGGAAATAGTACTACCCAAAACTCAGTTTTAAATATGGGACTATAGTCCACAATGTAATTGATTAGTGGGCATGTGAATATGCATGCGCAATGGAGATAAGAACAAAACTAGCTTGTTTGAAAACTTTCCGTTTAGTTCGTTGATTCGAGTTGAGATGTGACTTTATGTGAAAGTTTTTTACTATAGCAAAAAAGTTAGATGTGACTATTTTTAAGAATTTTTTACTGTAGCAAAAAAGTTAAATGTGACTGTTTTTAAGAGCTTTTTACTGTAGCAAAACTCAAATTCTAAACTCGAATCGATGAAATAAATGAGATCTACTTTTTAAAGGTAATAGTTTTAGTGTCGGAAAGAAGTAATTGGCATTTTATTAAGAAATATATATTTGTCACAAGTTTTCATGAGATAAAAGGAAGTAGTGATTTTAGGCTTTAATGGAGCCACAAAAAAAAGACTAAGCTACTTTATCTTTTTGTGTTTTTCTTGGGCGGCGCTGTAGTCATCGGAATTACTTGCTTAATTAAAACAAAGTTTCATTATATAAAGGCAGCCGACCAAAGCTACAGAACTATTATGACCATTTCTATGTCATTAGAGACTGCAACTTTTGTAGGTTTTACTTTAGAAAATTATTTATATATATATATATATTTGGAAAAAAAAAAAAACAAGGTCAAAGGGCATGCATTAGGACTTAAACACTTGCATGACCTTAGACTTTATGAGATGAAAGTTAATACATCAAGTATGACTGCCAGCATTTTTTTTGTTTGTTTTTATTATCTTTTCCTTTAAAAGAGAAAGAGAAAATGAAAGGAAGAGATGACAAATGAATATCTTATTCATCTCATTTGAAATTTTCTTTTTCTATTTTAAATAGATTAAGGGATTTGAATTCTACATCTGGAGTAATTAAGATGTAAATTTAATGTATAATCCTTTCTTAAAAGAAAAAAAACGTACAATATTTTTTGAGTTAGTAAAAGTAATAATAATATTTTTTTGGGAAAAAGGTAATAACTTATATATGAAAGCAGCACGAGCATGATACTTTGTTATCATCGTACGTCTTATATGCATATATTACTAGATTTATATGCTTAAATTTTTAATGATGAAGACGGATGACCAAAATATGCAAAATAAGTCAGGCAGTCAAAACCCATGTCTTGGATCATTACACTTATTCAAGCCCCCTATCTTTTACAGGACAAGCCGTTCTATATCAATATCGTATAAGAGAAAGTAATGGGCTAACAACTATTTAGTTTTTCCACTTTGAAAAAATATATATAAAAAAAAAGGATAAACAATAGATAAAAAGAAAGAAAGAAATGGTTGTTTAGTTTACCAAGAAACTGACTTCATGAGGGCATTAAGATCTTCACATTGGTTGACAATTTGTGATTTAAGAAAAGGTATCTCTCACACATATACACGAGTGAAATATATGATATGAGATCAAGCTAAGACATGGTTTGGGGTAAAACTAAAAGAGGAAAAATATATAAGAAGAATATTAAACATCCTAAGACAGGTGGTTGGTATAGCTCAGGTCAACAAGGTAAACAGAATTAGTTGACATGATTAATTATACATGCAAGTTCATCCCTTCAATATATATATATATATATGTATATATATATATATGCAAGTTCATACTATTAAGTGGGAATGAGTAGAAAAGTTGTATTCCACTAGCAGTTATACCAAACCCCTTCCTTGTTGATGTCTTTCTCAAAGTTCCTCCAAAATTTGAAATATGAGTTCCATTTTATTCTCCACTTTCTTCCCAACTCCACATACACGCAAACAAAGAAGCACACACTAGGGGGGTTACACGTCCCCACAAAGCCATTCTTTTCCAAATTGCCGTGATTGAAGGCCTCTAAATATTAATTCACAGTCCACAATATCGAATTCTTTGATCTCACTACTCCTTAAAAATGTAATAAAAAATAAAAAATAAAAAGTGTAATCACTCTCATCAACCCTCAAGCAACATTTTTGGACGGAACATGTGCGTGCATGCATGCCCTACACCCCACACCTCCAACCCCACATCCCATAGCCCCCTATTAAATGCCCTTTTCCCTTTTGTCACTCTCAAGTTTCAACTAACAACAAATTCACAAAACTATATATAATAATAATTCAAAAAAAAAAACCAAATCACCCGCAACAATATTATAAGAATAATTCTATAAAAATGCTCACGAGTATCATTAGTGTTGTACACCACAATTAATAAAGAATGAGAGCACTATTGGTGTTGAACACTACAATTAATAAAGAATGAATCTTATTTGTAAGTCTCATAATGTGAGATTTATTCTTTATTAGTGTGCGGTGTTAATACCTTATTCTAATTTTGCAACAGGTTATGAAAATATTACTTCATAACATAGTTTTGAACCATTAGTAATTTATAAAATCCTGTTAAATTATGGTATTACTGTTAGTGTCATATGATGTTGATGTAAAACTGTACTCTACCAAATAAAGCAGTGCCGATACTTTTTCATGCATTCCCTACCACATAATCCTTCTATATTACAAACTTCACCGCCTTCCATTTCACCACCTTCTCAAACCCCTCCTCTTTATATAAATCTCTCTCCTCCTCTCTCTCTCTTTCTCTCTCTCTCAAATCATCTAAAAAGCAAACAAAACAAAAAAAAACCAGCTTTCCCATCTATTCTTTCTTCTTTGCCATGGACTGGTTCTCATGGCTATCCAAAACAGGCCTAGAGCCATCCCTTGTGTACGAATACGGCCTGGCTTTTGCCCACAACGAGCTAGAAGAGGAAGACATAATCTACTTCAACCACGAGTTTCTTCAGAGCATGGGAATCTCCATAGCCAAGCACAGGCTTGAGATCCTAAAGCTGGCCAGGAAGGAGAAAGGAAGTAGCGGCCGTGGCCCACGGCCCATGGCCAGGCTTCTCGTGGCCATCAAGAGGACCAAACGGTGCTTGGCCAAGTATATTCGGACCTTGGTCAGACGTGATCAAGACTCTTCTGCTCTTGTTGTCGTTCAAAGGCCTTCCGGCTATGGCAACAGGTTCAGAGGAGCCATGCTCAAGAGGAACAGGAAGATGGTGGTGCCCCAACAGGGAAGATTGTTGCTTACCAATGGTAGCCCAATGGTCGTCTCCGGTGGGCCCAGGATTGAGAGCTTTTCGAGCCCGGTGGTTTTTGATCTCAGGAAGGAGGAGAAGATGGAACATGATCATCATGATCAGGAAGATGGGTATTGGTCAACGGGTGTTGAAGAGATCAGGTGGGATACTATGTTCCAGGATTTGAAACCCACATGAATAAAAACAAAATTGTTTTTTTTTTGGTTAATTAACTTTTCAGTTGATCTTATGGGAATTAATTTAAATGGTGAGAGATGGGTTTTTTTAGGTTCTTCCACCACAGTGTTTTTTTTTTTTTAATTTAATTTTTGGGTTGGTTTTGTGGTTTTATATTGTTATTACAAAGAACACTATGCTCTGCTTTTTTCAGTAGTGGTGGTGGGTCATGTAGACTCCAAAACTTTAGAGGGTGTCTGTTACTCTGTTCCCTTTAGGAGATTATAATGTTACTTTTACTTTACTTTTTTTTTCTTCTCTTTAAATCTTTATTTTTCTGATGGGTCTGTAGTCTTTATCTTTGAGTGAACTGAAATCACGAGTACTTGGTCTTTGTGGAAAGAATGATTGTGTATGTCGTGTTAAAAAAAAAAAAAAAGTATAGTATAAAGGAGGGTAGGAATTCCTCACTCTTGCAGACTTGTATATATTTTTTTTAATCCTTTTGCCTCTTTTTATGATTTTTTTTCTTTTTCTTTTGACGTTCGTTGGTGACAGGAGAATATTATTATAATATATACCAACTTTAATTAAGGGCGAAGTTTCATGTATATCATCTCATAAAAAATAAAAGGAGGTATAATCTTTATTACTGTTGATATTCTTGTCTTTAGGAAAATTCATCTTCTTGGAAGTTTCATGGCTTCACCCATTTTAACTTTTAGCAGTAATAGCAACGAAAACTTTTTTTTTTTTTTTTAATCCTAAGACATAGATTAAGGAAATAACTACCATCAGAATTGTGTGAAACCAAAAATTTGAACTTCATATTGAGATTATGTAACAAAGTTTATAATATGTGGTTTCCCAACATATGGGATATGCAGCCAATTAGAGATCTTCATGATAATTAAATTTCAACATGGCATTAAATATTGAAAAAAAAAACCCAGTGATACACAAATGAGCAGTTCCTCCCCTCCAAAATAGGTCCCCACCGAAAGCAGCCACTTGAGGCTAGTTCAAGTGGTTGAATGAGTGAGTGTGTACGTGTCTACTAAAATTCGAATTTTAGTGGTTTTATTTCTTATTAATAAAGTAGGAACCAAATACCCACACCGTATTACCCCCCATAAAAAAAAAAAAAAAAAAAAAAAAAAAAAAAAAAAAAAAGAGTCCCTACCAAAGCAGTGGAGAAGAGAAACTGGTACAATAGCATTATAGCAGCTTCAATCAAGTCTGTCTGCATGATACACCACATCAACGTTAATATTGCATTCATTATCTCAAACAGCCCTCAAAAGGGCAGTAGTTATATATTGATTTGAATATGTAAGTTTAATCATATATTATATCCCCACATCATCTTCCTAAAACTTATTGCTACTAGTAAGCATAAATAAAACCTACAAATGATACATGCTTTTTGGTGGGGCATCCTATCTCTCAGAAAAATTTCCCAACATAACAAATACATTACCAAGTCATGCCTCGGATATTCCAGTTGTGCTGAAACAACTTTATTAGAACTACCCTCTATTGAAAACCAGCCTGCCTTGCTTTTCCAGGACAATGGTGTCTCCAGCAATCAGTGGCTTGAACTCTGAGGCAGTCGGAAAGAGCCCCCGGCGTAAAGCATTTGGTAAACTGGTCTTATTCTTATTGTTAGAATTATGCCCATGATGGTACCTAATCCACAGACCCCGGCTAGAACCTGGAATGTGAGCCTGAAGCAATCTGGACCTAAGCAGGTGGATCCTCCTCCTTGCTTGGCGGCTTCAGCATCATAGACAGAGCCAGCAAGTAGAGCTGAGAAAAGAACTGCTCCAATGGGATTGCCTAGCTGCATGAAGCTGGAGATTACACCGAAATGTTTCAGTCCGAAAAGCTCGGAGGCAGTTGGGACCATCATAGAGTACTGAACCCCATAGCAAACCCCAAGCAGAGCAGTTGCAGCATAGAGCGTGCCGCTGAGAGCTGATGCATACAAAAGGAATGCCAAGATCATAAGCACGTGTGCACAAGTCATCCATACGGTACGAGGAATCATTCTTGACCTGGACAAAACCGGGTCAAGTATTGACTTAGTTTCATAATCTACAACAAGAAATTGATCCCACTAGTAAGACAAGGGGGACAAGAGGTTCAAAAAGAGGAAAAGTTTTGAAAAAAGAGGAAAGAGAGCTAAGCATGCACATCATATAAGAATACACACATAAATCTTCTTGTTTAAGCTTGGACTTGTTGGAAAATCGAAACTGTTTTGGAAACAATCCTTGTAAAGCTGTAAATTAGCTAATTAGTTGTCAATCTTTGTATTTTAAGAAAGTAGCTGTCAGAAGTTATTCTCTACCTAGAATTAGCTATATTCCTTAAATCAGTTATTACTTTCCTGATTCGAAGGATTTGTATATGGTGTGTAAATCCTATAAATAGATGATCAATGAAAGAAATTAATAGGGCAAATTGCTTGCTGTAATTCTTCTTCTTCTTCCTCTTATTCGATCCTCTACTCTTTCTATCACCATGTCAGACATTTCAAATGAATCCCCTACTGTTCCTCAATCATCTTCGAACAATCCCACTACCACTGATTCCACAAAAATCAGTACAACCACCTCGGAATCCCATTTTGTCCAAATCACCACAATTCGATTGAATGGTGACAATTTTCTGAGATGGTCTCAATCAGTTCGGATGTACATCAGAGGACGTGGAAAGATGGGCTACCTGACAGGTGACAAGAAGGCTCTTGCAGAGGATGATCCGGACTATGCTACATGGGACGCTGAGAATTCCATGGTGATGACATGGCTCGTGAACTCTATGGAAGAAGACATTAGCTCTAATTGAATGTTGATAACTCTATTAAAAATAGAGTTATTCCACTATTTTTGTGCATTTAAAGTGGCTAGTTTTTGTGATTTTTAACTTATTTTATTTTACTCTACTTTATTTTGAATGTTAATGAATTTACTTTTCATTTTAGATTTATTTTAATTTATTTTAGTTTGTTTCCTTTAGTTTTAGTAATTTCTATTTTAGTTTTCTTTCCAAAATAATTAGTGTTCTCATTTGTGTAACAGTGGGGCTTAAATGAAAAGTTTCAAATGACATGGGGTCAAAAGTACAAAGAAAAAGGAGCCAAATTGAAAAGATAAAGCTTAAATGGGTCAACAATATCAAGGGAATTAAATTTGGGAATTGGTTCTAGCTTGTTCGATCACCTGCATTGTGCTTCACTTGATTCCCGTGCACCTACGCATTTCACCAATCCCACGTCGCCACCTGTCCACCATACTCTCTTTCCACTCAATTCTTACCATGTGGAAGAGCTCATCACCAGCCCTAAGGCTTTGTCCTGGGCGTTGGTTCTCAGGGGGATTAATATCCCACCCTTTTGCAGCCGCCAGGGAGCTATCTTGCTCTCTGAATCCAGCGTACAAAGCCAGAGACAACTAAAAGAAAAAAAAAAGGATAAGCACTAATAAGGCTTTATGCCATTTTTCTGAGAGAAAAGAAAGAAAAAAAAAAGAGCTAAAATCTGTGCAGAACAGAGAGGAAGAAGAAGAGGGGACCAATACTAAGAGAGGGATTTTTCCAGCTTTCTTCATCCAGTGAAAGCTCGCTTGAAGAAGGGGAAGGAGGAGAAAAAGATTGAAGCTCCAAATCAGCTAAACTCTTTTCTATCTCTCTGTTTTATTTAATTTCTTGCTGGGTTTACAAATTTTGTTGAACAATGAATTATATTGAGAATTTGGTTTTTATAAATTCAACCATGAGCTAAATTTCTTTAGCTAGGATTATTGATGGAACCAAAGTTGCAATGAAGACTTATTTGTTATTCTAATTGCTTAAGTAATTTTCATCCTGTTTATTCAAGTGTATTTATTGTCGAATTTCTGTTAAGTGACAGGCCATCATTTAGTGGAAAATACAAACTAAAATTAATTCTAGAAAGGTTAGTTTTAGTTAGATCTGTCTTGAATAATATAAGGGAATAGTATAGGAATATATTACTACCTTGTACGGCCCATTAAAATTGGTGTTTAACTCCAGGTTTTGAAAACTGAAATGCCTAGGAATAGGTTAATTTCGGTTTGAGGAATTACGAGCATAGATCTGTCGGAAGAGGAATATGCAGAATTTTTAGGTTGACTGGATGAACTTTGCTACAGCAATGTTGAACTTTGCTACAGCAATTGTGGTCGGATGAACTTTGCTACAACATTGATGAACTTTGCTACAACAATATTAAACTTTGCTATAGCATTCCTATAGCAATTGAGGTCAGAGTTGCAACTGAGGGAAAATCAGTAATCCTAGCCCTTACTCATCATTGATTCATTAGTTTATTGAATTGTAGTTAGTTGATTCTTTTATCAAATTTGGTGTTTGAGGTGACTTTCACATTCCATTATCAGTGACTCAATCCTCGTGGGATCGATACTCTTGTTCACACTTTATTACTTGAGGCGACTCGTGCACTTGCGAGCACAAATCACGCAACACATGTGCTATCCAACGGCACAAGAGCTTTGGGAAAATGTAAATCAGATGTATTCTGATTTAGGGAATCAATCTCATATCTTTGAATTGACTCTCAAACTCGGTGAAATTCGGCAAAGGGAGGACAACGTCACAAAATACTTCAATTCTTTGAAGCGAATTTGGCAAGATCTGGGCCTCTTCAATACCTATGAGTGGAAATCTGCCGAGGATGGATGCCATCATAAGAAGACTATGGAGGATAATCGTATCTTCAAATTCTTGGTTGGCCTCAATGTCGAGTTTGATGAGGTAAGGGGGAGAATCATTGGAAGACAACCCCTGCCTTCAATTGGAGAAGAGAGGAGAGTCGGAGGAATGTGATGCTGGGCAAGAAGGGACCTGGAGTTGCTGTTGAAGGTTCAGCCTTGGTAACCACGGGTGGAGGCTATAACAAAGCCACCACATATCAGCGCAAACCTGATGAAAAATCACGTGTTTGGTGTGATTTTTACAACAGGCCTCGCCATACCCGTGAAACTTGTTGGAGAATCCATGGGAAACTTGCAAATTGGAAAGGTAAAATAGGTGACAAACCAGGACATGCCCTCACTGCTGCTAATGAGGCCGAAACCAACCCCTTCACTAAGGAGCAAATGGAGCAACTTCTTACACTGCTGAAATCCAACTCGATATCTGGTACTCCTAGTGCATTTGTGGCATACACATGTAATGAATTAAATGCTCTAGCTTGTCATTTCAAATCATCTGCTCCATGGATAATCAATTATGGAGCATCCGCCCATATGACCAACTCTTCAAATTTGTTTGAATCATATTCACCGTGTCCTGGAAATAAAAAGGTTAGGATAGCAAATGGTAATTTCTCACCAATTGCAGGAAAGGGTCTGATAAAAATTTATGAGGGAATAGATCTTAAATCTGTTCTCCATGTTCCTAAACTTACTTGTAATTTGTTATCTGTCAGCAAATTATCTAGAGATTCTAATTGTTGTGTCACCTTCTATGAATCCCATTGTATTTTTCAGGACCAGAGCTCGGGAAAGACGATGGGCAATGCTAGGATGATCAATGGTCTCTACTATTTCGAGGATAAATTACCTAGTAATAAAATTGCTCAAGGACTTCGTAGTATTAGTTCTCTTTCTGTTCGTGATCAAATAATGGTTTGGCATTGCAGATTAGGCCATCCTAGTTTTTCTTATTTAAAACATTTGTTTCCAGCGTTATTTAAAAAGGTTAATCCTTTATCATTTCAATGTGAAAGCTGTTTATTGGCAAAGTGTAACGCCCTCTAGAATTAAACATGTTTAATTATGCTAAACTGTGGATTATTAGTGTGCCTAATTTGATTTTCATAATTAATCAAGGGACTTTAAGTTATTTTCAGTATTTATAATTTCACCCCAAATATTTTTAGAAAACACACTTAAATTTAATACATTTTCCATTTTTTTCATTTTTCTTTTTCCTTTTCTTTTCTTTTTCTTTTTCTTTTTTTCTTTTCTTTTTTTTTCTTTTCCCCCTTTCCCTTCCCGTGCGCCAGCCCACTCTTTTTTTTCTTTTTGTTCTTTTCTTTCTTCTTCTTCTTCTCTGGTTCTTCCCGTGCACCAGTCTCTCTCTCTCTCTATTTTCTTCCACCGCCGGCCACCTCCTTCTCTGGGCTTCCTCCTGCCGGCGTTCTCTCTCTCTCCCTTGCTCTCTCTCTCCGGGTTTCTCTCTCCTTCTCTCTCTCGGCAGTTTGGCTAAGAATCACCAAAAAAAAATGAAAAACAGATAAATTGAGGGAGACAAAGCTCGAGCAACTGATTTGAGGTAAAACCCTTTGAAACCCACTCTTTGATTCAAATTTTAAGCTCGAGAAAGTTTGATTTTGGTTAGATTTGAATAATTTTGAGTTAGTGTTCGAGTTTGAACAGTTATTGTTGGAATTTTAAGCTTGGGGGTTTTTAGTTATTGGACTTGTTTAATAGATTAAAAACTGATTTTGATGGATTTTGGAGAATATATATTGAAATTGGACTTGAATTGCAGGTTTGACATTTTTTCTATTTATGCCGGCATGCTGCCAAAATTTCTTTAGAAACTTGTTTTTAAACTGAAATTAAATAGGAAAACTAAACCTATGGATTGGATTCTAATTTTTAAAGAACCCCCAAACTGAATTATAAAATCATTGTGAAAATTGGATTTGAGTCAAGGCACACTAATAGGAAACAATTAAACATGATTGAACTTAATTCGTTTTAGGAATGAGAAATACTTCCTAAGATATTGCTTTTGTGATAAAGCTAGTGGAGAAGTCAATTTTGGCCAATGAAAATGTTTTAGAACAAAACATGTTTAAAGTAAATGATTTTAAAAGAAATAGCATGTGAATGCTATTAGGTTTTCCAATGATTTTGGAAATGAGATTTTAAAGAGTATCATTTCTTAAAATGAATTATTTAAGGAATGATACAACGCATGGTGGCCACAGAGATCGGGATGTGGGAATCGCATCCTTGGGGGCAGGTCCCGAAACCCGTACGGATCCACTTCTTGTTTAGTGAAACTATGGCTCTGCACTTTTTACGAGACATACATTTTACCGCTTCTTGATTAGTGGTATGATGAGCTGCACACTTTCATTACACAGACATATTCTACTATGTGAGTATTTCCTTTTTTTTTAAAAAAAAGAGGATGATCAGTTCCGGGTGTATATCTTCGGACCATGAGTACCTTTAATTTAAATGCTTTATAAAATTATATCATAATGGGCCTTTCGCTCACCTTTTCCTGTTTTCAAATGTATTAAACCCCTCCAGACGACGCGAGGAGTGGTGCGGAATAGGTAGCTATTACCGGTGATGTGGACTTGATCTCGGGAAGCAAAGAGTTGTATCCCTCCTATCTTTTATTTCAAGGCATGTATAAGAGATTATGTATTGTAAACTTAAATATTGCTAGATTGTGGTTGATGTCACATTTACTTATGTTTATATTCATGTATGCTAAACACCTGTGAAAATTCCTAACATGATACCAGTGATGTGGTTTTAAACTGGTTTGGTTGAAAATTCCACCACCGTTCTTGAAATTAAATTTCTCTTGAATGCAGGGGCTCGTTTGGAAATACCTGAATGTTTTGGATTTGAAAGGAATTAAATTATTTTGCTAATCATTCTCTCTCAAACAGGTTTAAATTTCTAAACGAGCCTCCACGTCACCAACCCCGGTTTATGGGCGTGACACAAAGAGTCAACGTAAACCTTATATCCAAAAACCTTATCAAGCTTCAAAACCATTTTATCTTTTTCATAGCGATGTTTGGGGACCCTCAAAGGTAACCACTGTTTCAAGAAAAAAATGGTTTGTAACCTTTATTGACGACCATACTCGTCTTTGCTAGGTATATTTAATGCGGGAAAAATTTGAAGTTGAAAGAATTTTTAAAGATTTTTACACAATGATTGAAAATCAATTTCAAACAAAAATCAGCATTTTGAGATCTGATAATGGAACGGAATATTTTAATAAAGTTTTGGAAACCTTCTCAAAAGAAAAAGGTATTTTACATCAATCATCATGATCAAATACTCTTGAACAAAACGGAATAGCTGAACGCAAAAATAAGCACCTGTTAGAAGTAGCCCGGGCTATGATGTTTTACATGAATATTCCAAAATACTTATGGGGGGATGCCATACTAACTGCATCATATCTAATCAACAGGATGCCCACAAAAGTTTTACAGTACACTACCCCGCTGGAGTGTCTCAAAAAGGTATTTTCAGATTCTCAAATTAATTCTGAATTACCTTTGAAAATATTTGGTTGCACTGCATATGTTCACCTTCCAAAAAGGTCACGGTCTAAGTTAGACCCAAGAGTAGAAAAATGTGTTTTTGTAGGATATACTCCTAATAAAAAGGGTTACAAGTTTTTTAATCCCCTTACAAAACGGTGTTACACAACTATGGATGTCTCTTTTATGGAAAAAACCCCATATTTGACCAAAAATTTACTTCAGGGGGAGAACTTAGTTGAACCAAATTTTTGGGAAATTGTTGAACCCTTACCTAATCCGATTCTTGATATCCCTCTTAAATCAATGGAAAAAGAAAATAAGGAAACTAAACCCACTGAATCCGAATCTAATATCACTGGTCTGTCAGAAAAAGAAATACTACGAATGGAAAAAAAATCATAGCAATCTTGAGCCTGTGGTTTATACAAGGAAGAATATCCCTGGAAGAAGTAAAGACCAATTAATCTTCCTAACACATGGTCAAACGGAAGCCCTGGGTGATGGCCTTCCAAGTGTCTCAGGTAATTCTTCGTCTATTCCTACTCATTCTTTGCCATTAGACTCTAATCCTAATTCTGAAATATCTGCACCCGAACCTTGTTTAGAATTAGCTCCAGAAATTCCTACACAGGTCCTCGACCCTGATCTTCCCATTGCCCTTAGAAAAGGAACCCGCACGTGCACTAAACATCCTATTGCCAAATATATTTCCTACAATAACCTTTCTGACAGCTATAGAGCATTCACTACAAATATTTCAAACCTTGTGGTGCCTAGAAACATTCAGGAAGCACTAGATGAACCGAGTTGGCAATTGGCAATGTTTGAGGAAATGAATGCCTTGAGGAAGAATGGTACTTGGGAGATTGTAGAATTACCGAGAGGAAAAAAAGTTGTTGGGTGTAAATGGGTCTTTACAATAAAGAGTAAAGCTGATGGAAGTGTTGAGAGATATAAAGCTAGGCTTGTGGCAAAAGGTTTCACTCAAACTTAGGGATAGACTACTAAGAGACTTTTGCCCCGGTAGCTAAAATAAACTCAATTAGAGTTTTGTTGTCCCTTGTAGTAAATTCCAATTGGCCCTTACATCAATTGGACATTAAAAATGCCTTCCTTAATGGAGACCTAGAGGAGGAAGTGTTCATGAGTCTGCCACCAGGTTTCGAAGAAAGTTTTGGAGTTGCGAAAGTGTGCAAACTGAAGAAGTCCTTATATGGACTCAAGCAGTCTCCTAAAGCTTGGTTTGAGCGCTTTGGCAAGGTGATAAAGCGTTATGGATACACTCAAAGTCAAGCTGATCACATTATGTTCTACAAACATTCAAAGGAAGGGAAAGTGGCCGTCTTAATTGTGTATGTGGATGATATGGTGCTAACTGGAGATGATTATAGTGAACTAGAGAAGTTAAAAGGAAGACTCGCTGAAGAATTTGAGATCAAGGACTTGGGGGCATTAAAATACTTTCTTGGAATGGAGTTTGTTAGGTCCAAAGAAGGTATTTTTGTAAATCAGTGTAAGTATGTGTTTGATCTACTTAATGAGGCGGGTATGTTAGGTTGCAAGCCTGCTGAAACACCAATAGAGCCTAATGTAAAGCTACAGCCTGCAAAAGCCGAGAGTGTGAAGGACAGAGAGCGTTATCAGAGACTCATTGGGAGACTGATTTACCTATCTCATACACGCCCTGACATAGCATTCTCTATAAGCATGGTTAGTCAGTTTATGCATTCACCCAGTTCGGAACAGTTTGAAGCTGTTTACAGGATTCTAAGGTATCTAAAGGGGACACCAAGTGAAGGCCTTCTGTTCAAGTCACGGAGACATCTACAAATTGAAGCCTACACTGATGCAGACTGGGCTGGAAGTATAGTGGACTGAAGATCTACCTCGGGGTACTGCTCATTTGTAGGTGGCAACTTGGTTACATGGCGAAGCAAAAAACAGAACGTGGTCGCTAGAAGTAGTGCGGAGGCTGAATTTAGAGCTGTGACACATGGCATCTGTGAGATTATGTGGATAAGAAGATTGCTAGAGGAATTAAAGGCGTTGGGGTCATCTCCTATGAAGTTATATTGTGACGACAAGGCTACAATTTCAATTGCCCATAATCCAGTTCTCCATGACCGCACAAAACATGTAGAAGTGGATAAGCATTTCATTAAGGAGAAGATAGATAACGGTTTGGTTTGTATGACCTATATTCCTACCGAGGAACAAGTGGCATATGTCTTCACCAAAGGGCTATACAAAAAACAGTTTGACTTTTTAATTGGCAAGTTGGCTATGGAAGATATCTTTAGACCAGCTTGAGGGGGAGTGTTAGAAAATCGAAACTGTTTTGGAAACAATCCTTGTAAAGCTGTAAATTAGCTAATTAGTTGTCAATCTTTGTATTTTAGGAAAGTAGCTATTAGAAGTTATTCTCTACCTAGAATTAACTATATTCCTTAAATCAGTGAATACTTTCCTGATTCGAAGGATTTGTATATAGTGTGTAAATCCTATAAATAGATGATCAATGAAAGAAATTAATAATTCCCTGAAAAACTCACTTTTCAAGTGGACTATAAATCGGCTATGGTTTAGAGCAAATTAAAAAACAACAGTCAATTATTGTGTGATTTTGATATCAAAATTAACGAATAATGTACCTGACAAAGTACTCAGAAACAGCACCAGAGCCAAGGCGACCTGCGAAATTGCAAAAGCTGAACAATGCCAACAATATTGTTGTATTGTCAAATCCTAATGCAACTCCAATTTGGCTCAAATTATTGAGGACAGTTACTCCTGAACCAACCGCAAGAAAGTATGCAATCCAAAGAAGCCAGAAATCAGCCTTTATAAATGCTTCGCGAAACTTGAAATCCTCCCCCCTTCTAGGTCTCCTTTTCTGCTTCACTGCCCCTTCACCAATAGCAAGCAGTATTTCCACATCCGAAGCATAGTCGTTCTCATGAAAACTTCCAAGGTTTGTAGCTGATGAAGAAGATTCCAACAACGGATCTGTTTGAGCGGCAATGTCTTCCGAGGCAAGGTTCTTTGAATTTGTAGGAAAGAGTGTCATCTTGATAGGAATTACTAAGGGAGACAGAAGAAGCACGACCAATATGGCGACTAAAGTATAAGACACAGCATCACTTAGGGACATGGTGTCATACAATACAGTAGTTGTGAGAAGATAGATTGCTAGCAAAACACTAAGAGCTTGAGTGAAGATAAAATGGATATGCGTCGAAGAGTCTTCTTCGGACGATGGTGTACATGCGTGGACAAAATACATCATGGCCAAAGACAAAACAGGAATTCCAAGAGCAAGAAACAATAGTAGATTGGAAGGGGACTTTTTAAGTACTGCACTGTATATGACTGTGTACACTGCAGCGCTGAGCCCAACATAACCTTTGAGAATTCCAGCAACCGTGCCCCTACTGAGAGGGAAGTTCCTCATGTTGGTCACAAGAACAGCTGTCCCAAACCAAGCGTTGCTATTTGTAGCAATGCAAAGAGTCATAAATAACTGCCATAACATTGGTAGAGAGAGGTTATAAGTTCATATGCTGACAGAAAATACAAGAACGGCAAACACAATTACAGATATGTTTTAAAAAAGCGTTAATCCCATTTTTAGTGCCGAACTATAGGACAAATTCTATTTTGGTCACTAAGGTTTAAAACATCTAAGAATGAGTCCTTAATTTATGAAATCGTCTCAAATCATTCTTTTCATCCAACTTTTAAAATCTTGACGGGAAAAGACACGAGAGGACCATATGTTTATGTGGTTTAATAGAGGTCAATAATGTAATTTTACATGTTAGGACATGACTATTAATAAGGAAATCATGCCTATTTACAACAAGATTCTAACAGTCATATGGTAATTCGGAAACTTTCTTAAGATGTTTTAAAAGTAACAGACGAAAATGAAATTTAGCTATAGTTCGGAGACATAAAAATTGAAATAAACCTTTAAAAAAAAAAGTACACATATACACAGAATTTCACTATGAACGCAAAAACACCCATAATGACAGGAAAAGTATGATATTTGATCTTATTGGGTGGGTCCCGGGGCCCCAAACAACTCGTCATCTAGAAGCCATTTAGGCCGAGAGCTACAAACAACAACCTTCTGGTATAAGTCTCTCTCCGATTCTATTAGTGGCAGGTGATGAATAACTAGAGTGAGTAATTAAGGAAACTAAGAGGTTGTTTTTTAGAACAAAATTTAGAAAAAATATGAATTCGAGTTACAATTCTATTTAAGTTTATGTTTTTTTGTAAAATTTGAGTTTAAACTCGAGTTTGAACTTGAATTTAGAGCTAAAATCGAGTTCAAATTTTTCCTTTTAACTCAAATTCATAAACTCAAACTCAAGTTAATGAATATTATTTTTTTTTATTTTTAAAAATGTCATCTTTTTCATTTTAATTCCGATTGAGATAATTTTTTTTTTCTATACATTCACAATAAAAAGACGAATAAAACCCCACCTATATACTCTATTAAAATTTTTCATCACCATTGAGTTTTTATTAAAATACTATCCAAATACAAATTTAAATTTTGACTCAACCAAATACAAATTTAAAAATATTCTCAATTTAAATCATAACTTAAATATGCACATCCAAACACAAACTCAAATTATAACTCAAACTCAAAGATCATCACTCAAGTCACTCTAACTCAAAAATGTAAAAGAACAGACCTAAGATTGATAAAATCGATCATAAAAAAATCAGGGATATTCTCACCAAACATGAGAAGTGTTCTGATCAGCTCAACTATACATCATCATTTTACAACATGGCTCAAAGTTAATATTACCTTATTTTACGGACAAACTTACTGCAATCAACCAGATCCACGTTCTAAAATTTCGAACTTTTTTCCCCCTCTTTAAATTAAAGCCCATTATTTCAAAGAAATACATATATCTTGAACCTTTGATCCCTACAACAGCCTGCTAGAATCAATAAATCGCAAATGGGCATGCTTAAAAACTTGAAAACAACGCATATTCAGCACTCCCCAGCCAGTAAGGCAAGTTGGGAAGAGTTTGGCTAACAGCAAGCCAGATGACGCCGTACCCAAAGAAGCAACAAGCCGTACCAACCAAGAGCAAGGCCCAAGGAGGGAACTTATTGCACACAATCCCAGGAAGCAACCCAACGCTCTCTCCAATATCGTTGGCCACTCCAAGTACGGTCACTTGCTGTTGACTGAAACCCAGAACCGATTTCAGCAGAGGCGAGTAGAGTGGGAAAGTGTAGCCGTTCCCAGCGGCAATTAGGACCCACACCGCCGCCGCCAAACCCACCCACGGCGGTCGGCTTCCTGCTTTCAGAACCGGGCCCGCCATGTTTGACGACGGTGTAAGTAACGAATGTAGCTAACGACACTTGTGTGTTTGTGAGTTGGAAATATTGTAGCAAAAACGGAAATCAAAGGGAGATTAAAACAGCGAGCTGCAGCCGTCTTAGGAAGAAAAATGTGGAGAGAGAAACAGAAAGTAGATATAGATGTAAACAAGAAGAAAAACGACAGGTGCTGATTTGACCACCCACGATGTTCCGCAAAGTCCCTCTCTCGTGAAATGACCACAATCACACATATTCCTGCCAAGTGGAGTATATTGATATACCGAACCATCAAACTTATTTATTCATTTTTTGAAAGGAAAAATATGTTGTAAAATTTGAAAGGACGATACGAATAGCAATTCGCATGCGTAGTCTTTTAATACATGAAAAATAAACACGTTTAATGAGTTAACTCGAATAAAATGTTAAAAAAAAAAATTTGTATCGGGCTTTAGAAATGGAAAACATCAAAACAGGTACACCAAATATAGAGCATCTTAAGCAAATCCTTTCAATCAACTGATGTCAAAAAAACAAATAGCACTTAGGACTGTTCATAAACTTGAACAACCTGCAAACCCAACTCATTCTGCCCCAACTCAAGTTAAAAAATATAATTCGCAGTATTATTTTTAAATTTTTTGCCCATTATATCTCTGGCCTGAAGTGTTTGGGGCGGATTATTGGTTGGGCCCATAACAACCCGCAATCCCTAACCCAACCCGCACAACATACCCTCAAGCTTTCGGCCCAAGCCAAACTGCCCAAGTTCTACCTTAGGCTCGCTAACATTAGGATTCACAATCTCATTCTCGGTCTCCCCTCCCGTGAACCCCCTCTTCTTGCCTATTCCTTTTCAGTTTTACCTCTTCTTTCTCTCCCGTGAACCCCCTCATAACTCTCTCCTCATTGCTTAGTCCTCTCGGCCGCCGTCTTGCCCACTTTCTCCGGTGCTCTCTCGCCGGACTGATAAGGATGGTTGCTCTTTCTATTTAATGATGAAGTTTGAATATTATATTGAACTTTAAGTCTTTGATTTTTTGAATGTTGAAACCGACCACCCAACCCACCCCGCACCGCCCCAACCCAACCCGAACATCGTTGGGTTGTGAAATTTTTCTAACATCGTTGGAGCTAAATATGTGCAACCCGCACCCTTTGAGACGGGAAAAAAAAATCTTATCCCGCATCAACCCAACCCATGAACAGTCCTAATAGCACTGAGGTAACACAACTACCTGCAAAGGAACATTTATGAAGACAAAAAACTTAACCAAACACTAACGAATAAAACCAAAACAAAAAGTAAAATTAGGGTAAGAATCGTCATTGACAAGATAAAAAATCCACAAATAAAACATCAAAACACCTAAAAAAGCGAGGCCGTTCAACACCAGGATAAAAATGGTAGAAAAGACAAGCGATTAGTAAACATGTGTCGTCAATGATGGTGAAGGTTGACGCACACACCACCAGGTGAGTCCTCTCCTAACACAAATTAAAAACCTTCCGATGATAGGTCAAAAGGAAGATCAAGCGTCTAAAAATGCCTTGGCGTCAACAACTTATAAAGGAGGTTAGACAGTGCCCAGAATATGCAGTTAAGAAATTTATTATTTCTCTTATTGATTAAAATTATATTAAATTAAAAAGATAATTCAACTATTTTTACAAAAATTGATGATTAAATTGTGTCTTATTAACTTATTTTATTTTCATATCAACTATAAAAGTCTTTCGTATCTCTTTAAAAATAATAAATTTTTTTTTGTATTTAGCCAATTAAATATGATTTTTTTTTTCTTTCTTTGTCCAGTTTTTGCTTATGCATGCTTCTACACTTTCAAATTTTCTTCTCCTTTGAAAGAAATACCACATAAGCCAAAAACATAATTGTCCCTAAAAAGATGCATATAATTGAATTGTCACCAAACCACAGACTCTGCTCCTAGGAATATGATATACTATCTAGTAGGGTCCTCATTAATTTGTGGGGCACATTTTACGTAAATATAATTGAGCCAAGACCTCTTTAACAACTGATAATTGCTTTAGTTTCGTTATGCGAAGTTACGTTTCCTCTTAGGCCGCGTGGATCTATTATTCATAACTCGTTGTGATGGGGGTTTTACCAAATACCAATTTCAACAGATCAGCAAAAATACCAAGTTCAATAGCTATTGGGAAGCAGTGTAATAAGCAAAATAAAAGCGTTTTGATTCTTCTGGTTTCCAAATTCAAATTTGTTGACTATTGAGGACGATTTATTCCATAATGCCCTTCCTACCAACATTTTTTTTAAAACAAATTACAAAATTTACCCATAAGAGTGCATGAGTCTGAATTTTTACACTTTATTCTTTATAAAAAAAATTTATTAGTGTAATTATTTAATTAAAAAATTATAAATAAAGATTAAAAGATAAAAATCATGACCAATATTTATCAAGATTTCTATGGTAGGTGTCATGCTGCGTCTCAATAGTTGGCTTGTTGGGCCCAAGAAGTTGGCCTGTGGACTTCCTACCATCCCGTGTGTTCTAGTCATTTTGGGCTCAATTAAAAGACGTTTTAACACTGAATGATCATTTTTACTCTCCTTTAATTCAACAATATATCAATCTCTCTATTTTATAATTATTGATATAATACAATTTTAAATACATCCTTTTTTTTATCTGAGTGGTTGTGAATTTGTATAACTAATTTAAAAAGTAGTTAATTAAATATAAAAATGTCATTATGAGTTATTTTACAGATTTATATGTAAATATAACAACTTGTGACATTCTTTTTTTCATCCCTTATAAAATAGACATATATGTAATTAATTCTAACAAAAATTAAGAATAATTGTGTGTTCTACTCATTTTTATATTCTTATAATATTTTGAAATTTTTGGTAAATTTGAACTCAAGTATGAAATTTTGCTATTTAGTATAGTTATCTCAAAAGTTTAAGCATAACTTTCACATAAAAATGGTGCAGATAAATAATTAGATTTCAAAAGTGGTATACAACATATTTTACAGTAAAATACATCTTTAACTTTTTTTTAACAAAAAAAGGGAAAATTTTTAATATGACACTATCAAGGAAATTTTAATATTTTTTTGCTAATAAGGAAATTTTAAATATGTTACTGTTAAGAGTATATTTAAAATACTAAATACAGTGGATGAGAAATGCTGGGGTTGATTATGTACTCTACAAGAATAATTTAAATCATTTTAAGGCATGGGTTTGATGCATTTTTTTAAGCCCTTGTTACATAATTATTTTTCTTTTAAGTTAATATAAAAAAGAAGAAAATAATTAAAAAAAATTTACTATTTACAAAAACATAAAATCTATATGCCCCACCACAAAGGGAGGCATTGCTTTAGATTTCCTTTTAACCTTCCACCCTTTTGTCTTATCCCTTTTAAACTTATGCTAATTTGGTATTGTTGTTCATACGTATTTTGAAATAAACTTTTAGACACCATTACTAAGCCTGAATTTCATTTGTTTAAACAGCCGCTTCATTGCATTGTTTAAACATTTTTTTGTTGCCTTTTGGAATTAAAATTATGATAACTTGATGCTAGAACCATAGACGTTTGCACAGATGAAAAAGGACCTAGAAATTATGGCAACTGGAAAACAGAGTAAATCCAGCTTCTTTTTTATGTTTTTTTTTTTTTTTTGTTAATAGAATCCAGCTTTTGTTTAGAAAAATAATGTTTTCACGAAAATTCAACTGAGAATTTTGCATACAAAATGAAACATTCGTCTTTTTAAACTAAAAACAGTCTACATGGGCTACTGTTAAGTTGTATTATTATAGTTGCACTGCTACACATTTGTTGATTAAGCCACGTATTCGTAGTTATTGGATCGAAGTAATGTGTCCTATGGATTTCACTTGATCTAACCATCGATCATGCACGGGGTAGCAAATTAACTTGATGTATGATTTTTTTTTTTTTCTTTTCATTCACGTGTTATGTCAGGATGTCAGCAAACATCCGCACTTCAACCATGTCCCATGTATCGTGTCTATTTTAGCACAAAAATACCCAAATTATTAGATAGCCGCGGTTATGTCCCCCCTCCTCCAACATGGATGCAAACCTTTCACATTCTGGGACTCTTCGAGTAGGACACTTTATCGGTAGCATTAGTTTCTAATTGTAAAATATTATTAAAATTATATCAGATTAAAAAAATATACAGAATAAATAGTTTTTTATTTAGATTTAATGGTTGAAAAATAGAAAACTATCAATAATTCTTTTTTTTTTTTTTCAATTCTACCATAGAAACTTATTTTATTATTATGGTTTTTATCGGTGGTGCCTTCATATCATAATTAATTTCTAACGATTAGATATAGTTAAAATCACATTAAATTAAAAAAATAATGAAAAAGAAATAATTTTTAATGTTAAAAAATAAAAAATTTTCTCCTAAAAAATAAAAACAAATATTTTTTAATCTAGATGTAAGCGGCTAAAAACAATCTTTTCAATTGTTATTTTTTAGTGCCTAACAAACAAATCTCATTATTACTGTTGTTGTTGTTCTCTTTTTAAGATTTGATTGGGGAAGGGACCTGAATTTTGATATCAGCAGTAAGAGGGTGCAACCCAGAGAATCCAATTAGGCTTAGATTCTATTATCTTATAGATTACTCCACCTTTTATTATTAATTTGACATCTACGCCACAAGTGCAATTTGCTGCTATGCTTTGCAACCACAGATTAAATTAAACTCCACTTAATAATATCTTTTTTTTGTTTTTTTGTTTTTGGTCTTAAAGACTCCAGGACAGCTATGCAGACCTAGAAACCATCATTAATTTGTATTAATATTTCTTCCAATTACCTTTCGTTGATTGTGGGGATAATATAGCTCGTCATTAATCATGATAACTAATCACCACTGAGGTCGTGATGTAGTGATAAAAACATTTTTATTAGGTCTTTTTGCCCATCTTTTTAGGGTTTGATATTCCTCACCTACGCATTGTTGTCTTATGGGAAATTAAGTTGGCTTCCGCGGCTCCACAAGATGAGGAGAAGTGAAAATTAGTTGGATGATCAGTTGAGGCTAATTCAATCCCTTCCATATACTCGGTGGTCTTCAAGATTGCTTAATATAGTGGAAGGGACTAGGAGACATGAAGTGCCCCACCAAATCCTCTTTTTTGAGTAGAAAAAAAAATCATGATAACTAATCATGGCAATTAAAATTCAAATGGGCCAGTTTATTATTATAATGCCTATTTTTCTTACCACACCATGCGGAAAGTTATATACACACATCAAAAAGGTAAAAAATTATAAGAATCAAAGGACTAGAGATTGTTGACGGTGAAAATTCGTCAACAAGATTACTTCAGATTAAAAAGGGGATTAACGTGATTTAATGACTTGATTATGCTTTGGGAAGATCAAAAAGGTAATCAAGAAGAAAGAACACCAAGATTTATAGTGGTTCACTCTTTTGTTCAAGAACTACGTTCACTGTGAAGAGGAGAGAAAATTTTTACTATGTTCTGAGAATGCAACTTACAGACTGAGAGCCCCTTGGGCTTGCCATTTTCTCTCGTATATATTTGCTCTATCCTCCCTCAACCTCTGCCATTTTCATCATTACATTCTATCACATTGTCTCCATATTTTTGGATGTAATCCTTGGTGGGTGGAGTTTCTGCCAGTCAATGGTGGTTTTTCACCTACTCTCCTACCAACTTTGCTTGCTTACAAGTCACGTAAGATATCCTACAAGTTCAGTTTTTTCTCGGGTTGCGTGCAATCAACTCCTCAGCGCTTATCAAGCCATCTCCACCTACATCTACCTGGAGCGGTCGACTTCTTGCTTATCTTGACTTCTCTATACGATCTACCTCTTGTTTATCTTGACTCCTCGATACGGTCGACCTCTTATGGAGATGTTATTCTCCGCTTGCGGTTGGTCTATATCGAATTTCATTTTATAGGATATTTGATGCTGAGCTGACATGGCTATTAATACTTTCAGTTGTGTCACGTGGCGCTCATCTAGTGCACGATGTAGGGTTCAAGATTTTACCTTGAAATAGAGATTATAATGTGAACAAGTAAAGTCTTGTAATCTCTCCTGGGCTCAACAACAAACCATATGCGGCAAGGCTATACATAAAATTGTCTCATAAACCACTCATAATAACAATCTCCAAATCTTTAAAAAATAAAAAATAAAAAAATAGGAAAAGAAATAATCCCAAGTTAAAATCAAAATATACTATTTCACTAATATTCTGAATTCAATAATACGAAGCAGAAATAATAATAATAATAATAATAAAAAGCTTCGAAAATCTTTGCAAAAGAAATACAAAAATACCATTGCTAAAAAAATAAAAATACAAAAATACCAGAGTCTACATAAGCTCCTTTTCTGTTTTTAAGAAACCAAAAAAAATCAATCAGAAAACAGCAGGGCTCCTACATCAATGCTAGTGGAATAGCCTAATATGTCCAAACTACTGAATTAAATCCTAGTACCCTACACATCTCCAAAAAATAGCCTACCAAGATTCAAAAAAAATTCAAGGATCTTCGGCTCTGGACATCACGGAAAGTCGGCTTGGCCTCGGCTGAAAAGCGGCTCGGCGCCGCTGCTGGTGCGACGACGGTCTGATAAGAGCCGACAACGATCTTTTCATCAAGTCGCCTTCAACAACTCCGATCCTGATCAGCGAGTTAACCATCGCCGATCTCATCAAGTTCAGCCTGCGGCTATTGGAATTAAGCGACGACGTTTGCAGGCCACCGCCACGCGGAGAGCTCTTGTGGAGAGAACACCGGAACGAGCCTGGGTGCGTCGTAGGGGAACACATGCACGTCTTCCTCTGCTTGGAAACCGTGCCGTTACCGTTTCCGTTCCCGGCGCCGCCGTTGCGCTGCTTCGTAACCGACATCGAACGCCGTCCGGGAGAGATCGTCCGGTCGACCGCGAACCGCACCGACCGGGAGGACGGGGACGAAGAGCCTCCGTACATGGTGACGCGAGTGGGAGAGGAGGACCGAGTGAGGAAGGCCGTGGACGACGCGAATCCCGAAGACAACGACTGCGATGAGCTGCGAGTCCTGTAAAGCGCCAGATTGTCCGATCTTGCCCTAGACGAGGACGCAATTGTCGTAGTCATGATGGGGAGGAGAGACAGAGAAAGAGAGAGAGAGAGTCGTTTCTTAAAGAGAGGAAAAAAAAAAAAACCGTTTCTTCGATTTCTTTCCTTTTCCGACGAAGGGCCGTTTGGCAAATTTGCCAAACCTGGAGAGAATGAAGGACGGTATTTATAGGTGTGGTGAGAGAAGGGCGAGTTGTAATTTGATGGAGTAATGGAGGGCAATTACTTTGTGGAAGCGCCCCAGGTTAGAATGTGAAAACCCGAGGTCGATTAAGGTTTCGCTGTCGGGTCAGAACTCAGGAGAGAAAGCTATGGGCTGGTTGTGGATTCTCTCAATTTTTGCCAACTCACTTGCCACTTGCCAGCGTGTTTGGTTCATAATTCAAAATTATGATTTAAAATTATTTTTAATTTACGTGTATTTTTATAAAAAAAAATATTATAACGAATTATGAACTATAATTTAAATTATGACACAGATTTTTACTCTAAACGCACCATTATATAATACAAGCCTTTGTTTGTGATTCTAATAGGAAAAGGAAGGCTTCGTATATTTTTATGAGAGAAAATACTGTAACGAGCCACGAACTATAATTTAAACCATGACACGGAAAAAGAAGGCTTCTTTCATATATTTTTATAAAAAAATAATGTAACGAGTCACGAACCATAATTCAAACTATGATACAGAAAAAGAAGCATTCTTAATAATAATAATAATGATAATGACAATGATGATAATAATAATAATAATAATAATAATATGAAAACCATTTTTAGGGCTATTTATTATTATTTATTTATTTTTATTTTTGAAATCGGCTATTTAATATTATGAAATTTAATATATTAGGTTTTGAATTTCGTAAAAAAGCTTATAATAATAATAATAATATGAAAAGAAAAGGATAAGTTGCCATTTTTTAGGGCTATTTATTATTAATTATTAGGACAAATTTTATAAATTTTCTCTAAATTTTTTCACTTCTGTCAACATGCTTTCTAAAATTTAAAATGTGCATGTTATGCTCTTTGAATTATGTCACTTGTGTTAACATGCACATGAGGTTAACTCCGTTAAGTTTTTATCATGAATGCTTATAAATGCCCCCTCAATTTTTTCACTTGTATCAACATGCCTCTTGAATTTTAACATGTGCATGTTATGCTCTTGAATTATGTCACTTGTGTCAACATGCTCCCTGAGGCTAATTCCGTTAAGTTTTTAACATAAATGCTTATAAATGCCTCATGAACTTTCAAATGTATCTATTTTGCCCCCCGAACTATGATATGTCTCCAACTTTTTTCACTTCATCTTGATTCTATCAGTTTTTTGAACAGAAATATTGATAGGATCATTAAATTCCTAATTATTTATGATATTTGAGGTTTATTGAATACCTTCTCCTCTAAAAATATTAGTTAAGCACCAATTTTGAAAACATTAGTTTATTAGAGGTAATAAAGAGGAAAAAAATGAGGAGCAAATATGTATAATATAATGAATGTTAGTTTTTTCTTAATATTTCACCTAGATAGAAGTGCTCGACATAAAAACATGTTTATGTTTTATACATATATAACATTTTTCTAAATCTAAATGCGTTCAGTTCATTTATTTTATTGTACCTTTTAAAAAAATCAATACAAACATTAAGAAACCCATTAACTTAATAAATTTTAATGGTCAAATATCATAAATAATTAGCAATTTAATGATCATCTTAGCATTTTCGTTCAAAAAATTGATAGAATCAAGATGAAGGAAGAAAAGTTGGAGACATATCATAGTTCGGCAGACAAAATGAGTACATTTTAAAATTCATGGGGCATATTGACACAAGTGATAAAGTTGAAGGGGTGTTATAAGCATTTCAGTTAAAAAACTTAATAGAGTTAACTTTAAGGGGTATGTTGATACAAGTGATTCAAGAGAATTTAAAATTTGTCATTATTATATGTATAATTATTTATTTTTATTTTTAAAATTGGCTATGGATAAATTTTTCCTTCTTAATTTATAAATAAGCATGAAATCCAATACCTGTAAAAGATAGATTTATCTTGGAATGGATTAAAAAACTCCAAAACCCATTCAAATTTCAAAATATAAAGAGTCCTAATTCGAGTTGAGATGTGATTTTATGTGAAAACTTTTTATTATAATAAAAAAGTTAGATGTGACTGTTTCTGAGAACTTTTTACTGTAATAAAATTTAAATTTTAAACTTAAATCGGTGAATTAAATCGGTGAAATTAGACATAACCAAATATATTTTTTACAAACTCAAACTACATAGTAAAAAACAAATAAATTCATTTTTTTTTTAATCTCTAAAAAAACAATTGTTGAATGAAAAACAGCTGTAAACGTTGCGAAATTCTTTAAATTGAAGGAGTCATTGGCTTGAACGGTCAAAGTGGTTTCAAAAGTAGGATGCCACGTAAATATTTTTTTAACGGAAAACGACTGTTTCCTCTAATTACACGCCACGTAATATGCTTGACAATAATAAAGAGGTTTCGTTACAATTTAGATAAACAAAAACGCTCATTTAAAAAAAAAAAAAAAAAAAAAAAAAGCTCCGTGCTTTACCTGTTATCCATGTTAGATATTATAAATATACACTCAATCATTGTTCATCCTCTCAGTATTTACCGTAAAAAGTACAATGCAGTTCGATTTTGTCATTTTCCTCCCTCCACTTGGTACGGGACTTTTTGGTCTTTTAATCGTGTGGTGCTGAGAGTATAGTTTTGCCCTCAAATTTTAGGTCTTTCATTCGTTGTTGGCTTGGCTTTTCGGTCATTTTGGGTGGAAAAGGCTTTGGACCTATTTGTTTCTGTTTTTGTTTCTTTTTTTTACATTTTTTGAGGATAAAAAATGAAAACGCGTAAACAAAACATGTTTGGTGCAAAGTTTTCTAAAAATTAAAAACAAAAACGTTTTTGTCTTTTATTGAAAATTTGAAAACGGATTTCGTTTTCATTTTCCCCATTTCATTTTCTCCTTCCTCCGTTCTTCTCTCTCTATCTCATTCTCTCTCCCCTTCTCTCTCCTCAACCTCGTTTCTCTCTCTATCTGTCACCTCTTCCTCTTCTCTCTCCTCTCTCTGCATTCGCGACTGGCGGCGATAACCGAATCTTGCCGGAGCATCTTTTCTTCCCAGATTTCTCTCTCTTCTATCTGCTCTTCTCAGCTCACGTCTCTCTCTCTCCCCTCTCTGCGCCTCCTTCTCTCTTCGCCGCTCTCTCTCACCTGCTCCGATTCACTCTATCCCCTACTCAGAAGATGCTCTCTCTCTCTCTCTCATACCCTGCGCGCCTCTCTCTCTCTCTCATACTCTGATTATAATAAAAGTTAAAATTCCATTTTCATGAGTACGAGAGAAAAAAACAAACAACGTTTATAAATCAAACAGATAGAACTCTGTAATGCAATGTTTGGGGACAGAGTGAAAGGAAAGTCTTCAAATTAGGCTCAAATCTTCCTTGATCTATCTATAGAACTCTGTAATGCAAAGAAATAGCAACAAAATGAAAGATTTTATTCTATTAGAACTTACAATAACATCATAGCCATGAGCCCATATAACAAACAAACAACGTTTATAAATCAAACAGATAGAACTCCCTCTCCCTCTCTCTCGCTAGAAGCGCTCTCTCTCTCTCTCTCTAGAAGCTCTCTTAAGTATTCCTTTCCTCTTTCCAGCAAAAAAAAAAATTTTCTTTCCTCTCTCTAGGTTCTTACTTAGAAGTAGAGCAGCACACGTGCTTAACCATCGTTTTTAGATTAAAAAACTGTAACACTAAACATAAATAAATTATTAAATATTGTTTTTTTAAAAATTAAATCACTAAACATAATTTTAATTTTTTTTAAATTAAAAATAATCTCAAAATAAAATTACTAAACACATTTTTAAAAATAATTTCAAAATAAAAATAAAAACATTTTTATTTTCATTTTTGTATAAAAAAACAAAAACGTTTTGGAACCAATTTCAAACCCACCCTTTATTTTCCTCGGCTTCCTTCGATCCTCTCACTGTGGCCGTCTCTCTCATTTCCATCTCCATAAAAACCTTGGCCTCCATTCCCTACTTCTTCGTTGCTCTGATTGATGGTTTTGTTTGGGGTTTTCACCGTGCTTCTGATGCTGGCCTTTTCCATTCTCTTCTGCTTCTTTATTGTTGTTTTGGTTTGGGTTTTTGGTTTGTTTTTATTTTATTATTATTATTTTTTTTGTGTTTTTGGCGGAGTGGATGTTCTGATTTTCCTTCTTTTTCTTTGTTTTTTTGTTTTTTTGTTTTCCTTTTTCAAAGTTTTTTCCTTTTCTTTTGGTTGCCTATTTTATTCTATGGTTGATTTGCTTAAATTTCTTTAAATTGTTGAATATTTTCCTTTTATGCTCTGAAATTTTTTTGAGTGCTTTATTTTGTTCTTTAGCTTATTCTTTTGTGCAGAAAGCGATTTCCATATGGATGGTTTAGATTTTCTCTGTGATAGGTAAATTTTGTTTTTTACAGATGTTTTTTCTATCTTATTTCGCATCTGAGTTCTTGCTAAATCAATCTGTTTTGTATTTATTGATTTATTGATCTGAATGTCTACAGTGATAATCTGTTATGCTAGGTTGATGATCTGTACCCCTTTTGTTGCAGAGTTATTAAATGAATTGATGATTTTTTTGCTTTTATCATCTAGAATATGTGGAAAATCTGAGAAGGAAAAAAATATTTTATTACGTTTTTTTCCCTCCATTTCCCCTCTCTGAAGTTATTATTTATAGTTTTTTTTTTTTTTTTTTTTCCTTTTTTTCTTCTTGGCTTTAATAATATGCTGCTATTTTATTTAATTTAAAAATTATGTTCTTTCGGTCTTTGTGCACCGACTTTCTGGTATTACGCGTGATATTGTTATAGGTTCCTACTCTCTTGCTCCTTATTTATAAATGTTGCTATTGTGTGTGAATCTGTCGTGTATAATCCTGTTACTTTCTCTGAAATTTCACAGTTTTCCCATTTTTGCTTTAGCCTTAATCATTTACTGCTCCACTTCATTTCCTATCATTTACTGCTCCATCTTTTT